TAAAGGCACCAACTGCCGCTCTGGCATCTCCTATGGGTGTGGGTTCAAGACTTGGCTGCCCCACTTCTGGTCCAACTTCCTGCTAATGCACCTGGAAAATGCACCTGGAAAATGCTAATGCAGCAGAATATGGCCCAAGTACTTGAGCCCCTGCACCGATGTGGGAGACCCGGACAAAGTTCCTGGCTCTTGGTCTGCCTGGCCCAGCCCAGGTCATTGTGGTCATTTGTGGAGTGAAGCAATGGATGGAACACCTCTCTTTCTGTCTCTTCCTCTCTCTGTGTAACTCTTTTAAATAAATAAATAAATAAATCCTAAAAAAAAAAAAAAAAAAAAAAGAAAGACATTCTAGTTGAGAAACAAGTTATATGAAAAAAATATTAAGTTAGAGTTTTTGAGATTATGAAAGTACTTGTGAATGTTTTTTCAAAGGTTTATTTATGTATCTATTTTTTTAAAGTTGTCTTGAGCTGTCTTTTCCTGCTTTCCCAGATGCATTAGCAGGGAGATGGATTGGAAGTGGAGTAGCCGGGACTCGAACCAGCACCCATATGGGATCAGGTAATAACTCTACACACTACACAACACTGGCCCCTGGACATTTGGGTTTTTCCACTTTAAGACTATGATGAGTAGTACACACACAAGTCAAGACACTACTTGGGATACCTGTATCCCATATTGGAGTGCCTGGGTTCAAGTACTGGCTCTGCTTCTGAATCCAGCTTCCTCCTAATGTGCATCCTGTGGGGGGGGGGGGGGGGTTGGCAGCAGCAAACAATTGTTCAAGTGCTTGGATCCCTGCCACCCTAGTGGGATTGAGTTCTGAAATCCTGGCTTCACCCTGGTCCAGCCCTGGCTGTTATTGGCCTTTGGAAAGTGTTTCTATGGGTCTGTGTCTCTGTCTGTCTCTGTGTCTATATCTGTCTTTCTTTCACTGCCTCTCTACCATTCAAATATGATTTTACCAAATAATGCTGCTGTGAACATTTTTGTACAAATGTTTCCTTAAAAAGACTTATTTTATTTATTTGAAAGACAAGTTACAGAGAGAGGTAGAGATAGAGAGAGGTCTTTCAGCTGCTGGTTGATCCCCAGATGGCTGCAATGGCCAGAGCTGCACTGATCCATAGTCAGGAGCCAAGAGCTTCTTCCAGGTCTCCCAGGCACTTGAGCCATCTTCCACAGCTTTCCCAGGCCATAGCAGAGAGCCAGATCGGAAGTGGAGCAGCCGGGACTTGAACCGGCGCCCATATGGGATACCAGCACTGCAGGCGGTGGCTTTACCTGCTATGCCACAGCTCTGGCCCCGAACATATGTTTTCAATTTTGTGGCTCTATACCTAGAAGTTGGAAAATTAAATTTTAAAGGTGCTATTTGGGATGTTATAAAAAGACATAAACTAGTTAAATTTAATTTGACAAAAATGTATGCAACACCTGAACACTAAAACCTATGAACACTGCTGAGAGAGATTTGAAAGACCTCAGTGTATGGGAAAATGTATTACGGAGTTTAACATATCTAAATTTTCCTGTAAATTAAGGGCAATCACAGTCAAATTTCCAGCAGTCCTTTGATCCAAAAATTAACAAATTAATGCCAAAATATATATGGAAATGCAAAGTACCTTGAATAGCAAAAATAATCTTGGAAAAGCATAAGGTTGGAGAATTAACAGTGAGCAAAATAGTATGATATTGCCGTAAGGATAGAGATCAGTGGAATAGAACAGAGAATCCCCATGTATGATCAATTGATTTTCAACAAAAATGCCAAAATAATTCAGTGAGGGGAAGAATAGCCTTTTAGACACATGTTGCTAAGGCAGCTGCATAGCTGTATGGAAGTAAAAGAACTTTAGGGGCCAACACTGTGACACAGCGGGTTAAAGCCCTGGACTGAAGCGCAGGCATCCCATATGAGTGCCAGTTCTAGTCCCAGCTGCTCTACTTCTGATCCAGCTCTCTGCTATGGCCTGGGAAAGTAGTAGAAGATGGCCCAGGTCCTTGGGCCCCTGCACCCACTGTGGGAGACTTGGAAGAAACTCCTGGCTCCTGCCTTTGGATTGGCGCAGCTCTGGCCATCGTGGGTCAGAAACAGGGTAGCTGAGATTTGAACCAGGTGCCATGATACGGGATACAGATGTCCCAAGTGGTGACTTAACTGCCATACCACATGCCTGCTCCATTAGCTCACATTTCTATAACATTTTACAATTGAGAACCTTTTTAATATACTCATTTGGAAGGAAAGATCATATGGAAGGCATTTGGCCTAGGAACTGGCACACAATAGGTGCTTGTGGTTTTCAGACCCAAAGGTGACCCTCAGCGATCACTCACTCCTGGTAGTCATGCTGTTGTGGAATCTTCTCCCACTGACTGTAGGCAGAACCTGTGACTTATTTCTAATTAATAGAACACAGCAAAGGTGATTGGATAGAATGCTTGTGATTATCTGATTTTATGGAACCCGCCATTTTTCTAGCAGGCACACTTCTGCGATTTCTCTGGTGGTCTGAAGTAAGCGGTCAAGCTGAGGAAGCCAGTGTGGGAAGGGACTACAGGTAGCCCCTGGAACAATGGTTGGCCTGTTGCCTCCAGTCCCTACAGGCCTTCAGCCCTGACCATGCAATATTCTGCCAACAGCCTGAGTGAGCCTGGTGTGGGGATGAATCTACAGCAAAGTCTTCAGAGGAGAACACATAGCCTGGCCATCACCTCAATTGTAGGAGAAGAGACTCCTGGCTCACAGAAACGGTGAGAGAGACGTGTGTGGTGGGAAGCTTCTGAATGTGTGGGAATTTGTTATGCAGCAATAGGAAATGAATATAGCAAATTGTATGGAAAAATAAATATTGCCAGATCTCACTTAGATATGGATGCTAAAAATTTGAAGTCATCGAAATGACAAGTAGAGTTGATTGGGGTGATGTTTAATTTCTTCTGTTTTTTTTTTTTTTTTTATTTCAGTTAGATGGGGATTAAGCTCAAGAGATCTGTCATACAGCATGGCAGCTGTAGTTAATAATAATATATTGCATACATAGAAGTTGCTGGGAGAGAGTGGGTAAAGCCACCGCCTGGGTGCCAGCTGCACTGCTTCCGATCCAGGTCCCTGGCCCGAACAATGTATGATGTTGAGCATCTTTTACTGTACTTATTTGCCATCTGTATATCTTCTTTGGTGAAGCATCTGTGCATGGTTTTTGCCCCTTTTTAAATTGACTTGTTTTCTTATTGTAGAGTTTTAAGAGTTCTTTGTATATTTTGAACAACAGTCCTTTATCAGATGTAACTCAAAAATATTTTCTCCTAGTCTGTGACTTGTCTTTACACTCTCTTGATAAAAAATTATTTTAAGAAGCATAAATCATAATATTTATGCATAATGTATGTGGGTGATCCTGTAGCTGGCAGGGAGTCTGCCTGCCCTGCCCATGCAGGAGTTTGAGTGGGCATGGCACACCATGCCTCCCTGGAAGGACCCCACGACCTGAGTGCTGGCAGGTGGCAGGAGCCCCAGGCACATTTCCCCCACCCTCACTCCCTGTTAAAGGGCACTGTAATTGACAATCAGGTAATCAGCTCCCAGGTGTGGCCCAGGCCCATTAGGACCACCTGGAAAGCTATCCTAGCTACATGACCTTCAAGCTGATTGGAGAAGCACAGCTGCCAATATCTGCTCTATCCTATAAAATTAGTGTTGCCGTGAATTAGCTACACCCCCTTTGCCTGCCCTTTAAAAGGTGTGCTTGCTCGTTAATAAACAGACATGTTCACCAAAGCTTGTCTCCCATGCTTCTTGTCGAAGAACGCCATTGCCCTACGATGTCTACAGTGTGGACCTTGTAGGACGAGTCCGCAAACGTACTTGGATTTCTTCCCCAAATTTAACATGGTCTATACATTTAAGATGCAGTAAGTAGTACCCAATAGGGGCTGGCGCCGTGGAGCAGTAGGTTAATCTTCTGCCTGCGGCGCCAGCATCCCATATGGGCGCCAGTTCTGGTCCTGGCTACTTCTCTTCCAATCCAGCTCTCTGCTATGGCCTAGGAAAGCAGTAGAAGATGGCCCAAGTCCTTGGGCACCTGCACCCACGTGGGAGACTGGGAAGAGGCACCTGGCTCCTGGCTTCGGATCAGCGCAGCTCCGGCTGTTGCAGCCATTTGGGGAGTGAACTATTGGACGGAAGACCTTTCTCTCTGTCTCTCCCTCTCTGTAACTCTACCTCTTAAATAAATGAATAGCATCTTAAAAAAAGTATTATCTAATAATAGTGTTCACTTAATGTGCATAACTATTAGTTGATGTTTTCTTTTTTTTAAAGAATTGTTTATTTATTTGAAAGAATTACAGAGAGAATCAGAAACAGAGATTGTCTATCTGCTGGTTCACTCCCCAAATGGCCACAAGGGCTAGGGCTTGGTCAGGACAAAGCCAGGATCTAGATGCTTCTTCTGGGTGTCCCATGTGGGTGTAGGGGCCCAAGCACTTGGGCCGTGCTCTGCTGCTTTCCCAGGCACATTAGCAGGGAGCTGGACTGGAAGTGGATCAGCCAGGACTCAAACCAGCACCCATATGGGATGCCAGCTTCACAGGCGGCAGCTTAACCTGCTGTGCCATAGTACCAGCCCCAGTGTGTTTTTATTAATGTGGAAGTAATACCTTATTCCTATAACTTAGTATAATAGTACTATATTTTCTTCTGTTTTTTAAATTATGGATAGCTATGGATCACAAAATAAACAATTCTAAGGAGTAATATATTATGTTTGCCTCAAATAAAAGCTGTATTAAAGAAAATAACACTTTCACAAGTGCAACTAAATTGTTTAAATAGAATGCTAGCCCCAGTGGGTGAAAGATACATAGCCACACCATACTATAAATGTTGCTGGGAAAACACGGGATGTATTATTCAGATTTAATTCATATAGTTGCACTTGTCATTATATGTCATTATGAAGAAAAAGAATGTTTAATTGAAGCAAGCAATAAATATTTACTTAGTATAAAGTTTATTTACATATATAAAAAGTGTATATCATAAGAAACTCATTAAAATAAAACCACAATTAGATTTTAGGAAAATATCCATTTGAAAACTGGTTGTTTTTCCTAAATAATGAAAATACTGATATATTTGAGCTAGATTACCTTAAACTTCTAAACCATTAGGAAAAAGTTTTTAATACAAAGTTCGAGGAAACACATAATACAGAAGATTGAAGGCATCAACATATGTTGTCGGTGTTCCAAAATGCTAAAGTAGGTAGCATCTACAAAAGAACTTAATTAATCTTTAAAAACTACAGAAATGTTAGACATTTCTCTAATAACATAAATGCCATATATAACATTTCAAATCAAGCCATTAACTAACAAAAATTTAATTCACATTCACTTAAAACATAAACAACATGAAAGTGAGCTTTCAATATACTAGCAGATCTTTTAGCATTTAGGAAAAGTATTCACACAAATTACCTGAAAAACAGGAAAAAGTTGATTAGAATCTTAGAGGCAGGGGCTGGCACTGTGGTGTAGTGGATAAAGCTGCCACCTGCGAAGCCAGCATCCCATATGGGTGCCAGTTTGAGTCCCGGCTGCTCCACTTCCAATCCAGCTCCCTGCTAATGCACCTGGGAAAGCAGTGGAGCATGGCCCAAGTGCTTGGGACCCTGCACCAACATGGGATACCTGGAAGAAGCTCCTGGCTCCTGGCTTCAGACCGGCCTATCCCTGGGCATTGCAGCCATTTGGGGAGTGAGCCAGCAGATGGAAGTTTTCTCTCTCCCTCTTTCTCTCAGTAACTCTATCTTTCAGACAAAATAGAAGAAGAATTTTAGAGGTAAATAGAAAACCAAAAACATGGAAGAACAACACTCTGTTGCTCTGGGGGGAACCTTTTTACTGCTAAAAATCATTTGGATATTTCTATCATCATTCATGGGCTGTACAAAATTATTCACTTAAAAATTGGCCTGTAGGGGCCAACGCTGTGACATAGTAGGCTAAGCCTCTGCCTGTGGCACCTGGATCCCATCTGGGTGCTGGTTCATGTGCCTGCTGCTCCTTTTCCCATCCAGCTCTCTGCAATGGCCTGGGAAAGCAGTAGAAGATGGCCCAAGTGCTTAGGCCCCTGCACCCACGAGGGAGACCTGAAGAAGATCCTGGCTCTTGGCTTTGGGTTGGCTTAGATCTGTCCATTGCGGCCATCTGGGGAGTGAACCAACAGATGGAAGACCTCTCTCTGTGTCCCGACCTCTCTCTGTTAACTCTACCTCTCAAATAAATAAATCTTTAAAAAGAATTGGCCTGCTATAGATTTATTGAAACAATTTTTATGATTTATTTATATATTTGAAAGGCAGAGTTACAGAAGAAGAGACTGAGAGAGATCTCCCACATGGGGGCAGAGGCCCAAGCACTTGGGCATCTTCCACTGCCTTCCCAGGTACATTAGCAGAGAGCTGGATTGGAAGTGGAGCAGCCAGGATTCAAACCAGCACCCAAACCAGCATCCATACGGGATGCTGACACTACAGACCATGGCTTAAACCATTGCGCTATGGTGCCTGTCCCAATTTAATGCCTTTTGAGTCCCACCAGCAGTTTCCTTAGCATTGCCAGACTGAACAATTTCACGGGCCTTATGTGGATCATGGGCTATATGTTCCCCACTCCTGCTCTCTGGCTTCTAATTGTTCTAAGTTTTCTCCTTCTCAGATGCAAAACTTTCACACAGAGTTTGTGCTCTCTAATTTTTTTTTCTTCATTGGCCAGAAGAAAATTTTCTAGGTAGAATTATCTAATTAGTGAAGGTGTTACCACGTGTAATTACCGTGTAGTACCAAGTCCAACTTGCCTGTTATACTTATCTTCCATTCATTTCCTAACTACTTATATACAAATATAAAATCTCAGGTCAGTGGTAAATGGTTAAATCTAATCACCAGCCTGAGCAAGAAACACAAACAAAACACAGCACTCAAACAAAACTCCAAATAGGAATAGAAAAAGGTGAGATAGAAATACATATCAGTGATTTTGTATTAAGATACTTTCCTTTCATTTAGTGTGAGCATTGGTCATTAATGGGTTTATCACATTTTCTATATGTATTAGGATCTCAGCATTTGATGCTCTATAAATGCCAATGATTTAATAATATTGACAAGTTCTAGATTCATTCAAGTTTACACTAAATTATGGCAGATGACAAATCTGCTGGGGCAGAGTGGGGTTACACAGGTTCTGAAGCTAGCTTTACAGTTAGACTTCTGGAAGTCAATAGAAGTAAATGAATGCATCTATGCTTAAAATTCTAGTTCAGTTTAGGCACACACGTATTGTATATTTCTATTTATCTTAAGAATGTCTCACATATGAGTGAGAATACATATCCAGATATGTGATATATGTACATATACACATGTATGTATACATGAGAAATACTTGCAAATTTCTATCACAGACTTGGAATTAAGTAACAAGATTAATTTGAGGCAATGTAACTTTCAAAGGCACAAGATGGGACTAGAAAAATGTGTTCATTCATTCTAAACTGGACTCTCACCAACCTGTTAGATTTTGGGCAAGTTGTCCTTCTTTGTCTTATCCTGATTATTACAGAGTGGGCAAAGCAGACTTTGCCTGTAACCTTTTAACTAGTATTAAAATAAGTGCAAAGTGCAAAAATGAAAGTGCTTGATGTAAAGCCAAGATATGACAAATAGATTTTTATAGGTACTGTGGGTGGCTCTAAAGAAATCCAGCTTTTCCTAATTAAATCTCAGTGTTGCCAGATGATGTCTTTGTGACAACCAAAGACTCTGGGAATCTAAACAGGTAGTCTGAAGCAGTTTTTAACAAGTAAAGGTCTTACTTTTACCTGTCTCAAGATCATGCAGTCCTAAAAGAGAGACATGCACTCACACATGTCCTGTAATAAGATGTATACTTTCTTCTTTTTTAATTTATTAGAGAGAAAGATTAAACAACAACAAAACAGCAAGAAGCTCTCATCTGCTGGTTCACTCCCCAAATGTCTGCAAGGGCTGGGGCTGAGCTGGGCTGAAGCTGGGGGTGAGTTCAAGTCTCTCACATGGGTGGCAGGAACCCAATTATTTGAGCCTTTACTGCTGCTTTCCAGGGTCTGCATTATAGGGGAGGTTGAGTAAGAGCCATAGCCAGGCTTCAAACCCAGGTACTCCAGTATGGGATGCGAACGTCTTAACTGGCACCTTAACCACCAGGCTAACTGCCCACCCAGTACATCTTTTCTATACATTTAATTAGGAAGGAGTTATCAAATGCATTTGGGTTTGCAGTCTCATCTCTGTAATTATAAAACAAAATAACATTCGATAAGTGATCTCTAATAAAAGAAAATGCAATGCCTGGCAAAAGCACAACAGAATTTTCTACTCTAGTTTTTAGGAGTATATTATTTTTTGAGCTCCTGTAAAAACAAAAACAAATTTATACATATATACATACATACTCATCCATATAAATTTGTGAACATGTACTTACTCCAGAGGTTTATGGCTTATATTATGCTATCTTGATAAGGAAAAACTGGTCATATAAATGATTAAAAAAATAGACAAAGTATGGTTCAAGACAGCTATTTATGGCGTTTTTCTTTTCTGTTCAGAAATATTAAGAGATGCAAGGGGTTGTTGGTAACTTTCAACAATATTATTTTAATAACAGAAAGGCAAATTACTTTTTCCATATTCTCAAGCTATTATTTATGCAGTTCAACAAATTTTAAGATAAGTAGTTGTATTTAGTTATATACAAGGGATTTTTAAAAAGTTAATGGGAAGCACAGATTAGGAACAAACTATGCATGGACTTCAAATTAATTGAGCCAAACGAAACTTATTGTTTAATGCCATTTTCCTTGAACTTTCTGAAATATTTTTAATATGTTGATAATTTAGCAATGAAGATCTACTCATGAATAACATGGGCAGTTTTATAAAGTACTAGTCACTCCTAGATTGGAGGACTATTACTCACTTGCTAACTTAGCAACCCTTGCATATCTTTGCCATTGCAACCCTGTACCCTGTGAACAACCACCTTCATATCAAACAGTATTTTTCAGAAAAAGAAAGCTACTCACTTCACCACTCCCCATAATGTAACATGACTGGTAGCAAAAGTTTAGGATAAAATATGGTAAATGCTGTGTCATAATTTATAAACCAAGTGGTTATATTAAAGCCACAATTTTACATTGAAATGTCAAAATCTGTAAGTATTTCCAACAGAAAGGAAATCTTAATAATGACTGGGTCCAATATCCTAACTTGGGATAATCTAATGAATAGAAATTCTACTTTTTAAATATTCAACACATGGGATCTATAACATTTTTCTATACAAAAGTTACTAAGAGTTCACTAATTCTAACTATGCTATCACAGAGATTTTTCTGAACCATTAAGATAAACAATACAAAAAAGTGCTTTCTTCTGAACTGCAAGAATATGGCATAAAAGTTTTTTATCAAAGCTGATAATGATCAAGTTCAGGTCCAAGATGCAGACAGAACTTCTTTAGTGTAGTACATAGCTGATGCCTCCTTTATTCCTTGCCACTGCTTATTTATTTATTTATTTTGGTTCAGGGAGAACAAACCATTCAAATACCGTGAGTTTCTTCTACCAAGATGGCAAGGTGAGCTTAGTGAGATGGAAGTGACATAGACTTTTTAAAAACCCTAAAAGCCTTTGGTGACCCAGGATATGGTGGCGGTGGTGAAACGTTCTGCTTTCTGGTCAGTGCCACCGCCTGTTCGTAAGAAGGTAACCCAGTGTCCTCGGCAGAAGACGGCGATGGAGATAAGGCAGCCTCCTCGGGTCTTCTGAAAATGATGGAGGGAGCGTGCCTGCTCCTCCTTACGTAGACGGCTGAAGAACTAAACAGAGAGACAGTATTTAGGAAATGGAAAGTCAGCAGTCTTGGGTTAAAATGGCAACATTAAAGCATGACTATTTTGATAAATGTTGAATCCCATGTATTAATGTAAGAAATTTATTTTACCCACAGACTCTAAAAGCGTCTTTGTAGAGACCAAGAACACTGAAGTGAGACACGGGTTTGAGGCTTGATCGTATCATTTCATAGCTGTGGGACCAAGGACAAATGACTTCAGTTTCCTCCCCTTGAAGTGCCTGGCATGCTGTCCTAAAGACTAAAAAAAGCTGAATTTCCTTTTCTCCTGCATTAAAATTTTCTCAAGGGCCCGCGTTGTTGCATAACAGGTTAAGCTTGCCGCCTGTGACACTGGCGTCCCATATAGGCACTGGTTTGTGTCCCAGCTGCTCCACTTCCAATCCAGCTCCCTGCTAATGCACCTGGGAAAGGAGCAGAAATGTTTGGGCCACTGCTGTCCATGTAGGAGACCTGGATGAAGTCCTGGCTTTTAGCTCCTGGCTTCAGCCTAGCCCAGCCCTAGTGGTTGCAGCCATTTGGGGAGTGAATCAGCAGATGGAAGATCTCTCTCTCTCTCTCTCTCTCTGTAATTCTTTCAAATAAATAAAAATAAATCTTAGAAAAAAAGTTTATTAAAGTATGATATGAAACCAAATTCCAGCTTTGCTGAAGGGTGCAAACCACCAGCCGAGAAGATAGATGCCACAGAGACAATCTTACCCACAGATGCCTATCTCAGGTTTCTGTCAGCTCCTACAGGCCTGCTGCCTGGCCCAGCCTCCCCAGCAGTCCTTCCATCATGTGACTCTGCTCAAAAGTCTAACCTGGGACAGGCCGGAAGAAGCTCCTGGCTCCTGGCTTCAGATCAGTGCAGCTCTGGCTGTTGCAGCCGTCTGGGGAGTGAACCAGTGGATGGAAGACCTCTCTTTCTCTCTGCTTCTGCCTCTGCCTCTCTAACTCTGCCTTTCAAATAAATAAATAAATCTTAAAAAAAAAAAAAGTCTAACCTGCGGCCCACTTCCCACTGACCCAAGCTCTGCAGTGCTCCAGTGCGTCTTCTCAAGCCCTCCCTTATGCTGGCCTCACCTTAGGTTTTTATAGCTCTCTGCTCTTGCCAAGGCACCTTCTTTATGCCCTTCTATGCACAGTGAATTCCCAGGCCTTTCTCTGCTTTCAATGGTATTGTTCCCTTTCTTAAAATATTGTCTTTCCTCCTCTCCACTATGTAAGCCTAATAATTGTTTTAAAAAAATATGGCTTAGTTCATGTCCTAACATGAAAGTTGAAACAAAACAAGGTCTGGTGTTTAAAACCTGTGGTTTCTCCTTCACTTATGAACTTTAAATCATAACTTACATATTAATAAATTGATGTTCTGACTGTGTACTCGGCTGTTTATAAAGTTTCTATGCTTATGGCTGATGAAATAATTAAAACTCACAGGTATGTCCCAACCCATAGTCAACATTCACCACATTCTGAGGCAAATGTTTAGCTTAGCAGTTAGAATGCTCATTAAGACATCCTCCTCCCATTTGAGTGCCTGGGTTCGATTCCCAGCCGCGCTCCGGGTTCCAGTCTCCTGCTAATGCAGGTCTTGGGAAGCAGTAGGTGATGGCTCAAGCAATTTGGTTCCTGACACCCACATGTGAGAACTAGAATGCATTCTTGGCTCCTGGCTTTAGCCATGGCCTAACTGGGGTGTTGCAGGCATTTGAGAAGTGAAGCAGTGGAGGGCAATGCTCTCTCATCTCTCTGCCTCTCAAATATATATAAATGAATAAATAAATAAATATATATATACTCTTGGTGGGAAGGATGGGATAAAAATTAATATATATTAATATATTATATAATACATATAAATTAATATATGTTATATATAAATTAATTAATTTTTTATCCCATCCTTCCCACCAAGAGTTACTTTAACAGACCCAAAATACTATAAACCTTTCCAAACTAAATCAGCCAATTTGCCTCTTGAACCATTTTGGGCAAGGTAATAATGAGATCTGAAGTTGGAGGCAAGGAAAGAAAAATGGCAGACAGAAAAGCAAAGCCACAGGTCTGTGTAACTGTAGGAACTGGAGGTGACTGAGTGAGCACAGCTTCCTTAGAGGGCTCCACGTCACTCATCCTGGGCCAGGAGTCTGGAATGTGTTCCCAGCCCCCACTCATTTGCTCAGCTACACAAAGTGCTGTTTGCTGCCTTGTAGGGAACCAGAGAGACAGACATTTTCTTTGACTAAATACAGTTTTCCATGTTGGCTTTCACCATTTAATATGCAGAAATAATACACCAGTCATTAAACATGTGTGGGGTGTTTTCTTACACATCATACAAGGGGTTTTCAAAAAGTTCATGAAAATGCACATTATTTAAAAAAAAAACTGCAGGAATTCCAATTTTTTCTGTACCAAGAGAACCTTATCCTTTAATTTTATTTTCTATGTACTTTTTGTAGTGTCATTATATCTCTTACTTGATTGAAATCAGAAAATATTCACTAATATCATCTCAAATTCATAGCATTATATTATGTCTACTTGCTTCCACAAAATATAGGAAGTAAGAAATGAAAAGACTTCCACTTCTTGGCAGGTTTCTCCAGGGCAATCACTGTTCTGACAGTGATCTTGTTTTTTAACTCTTTTCTTTCTTAAATATTCTCTCCCCACCTCTGTCTATCAGACTTGAAACATCAAGAGAACAAATAACTCTGCTGGAAGAATTTCTTGGAGCATTAGATGAAAAGTAGTAAGTATTGAAAAGTCGATTTCAAAATAGGAGAAGAGCTAGTAAACCTCATTTGGAATGTTCACTGAAACTCAAAGCTTCGCTGTGAGGGTGAAAGTCAGAGGACAGACAGAAAAATAACCTGTGAACCCCACAGCTTTGCAAGTGCTGACATTAAATGTCACTAATCTTACAAAATAAGGGCCACATAGGATTTGAAATTTTATGCCAACATCCCCAGGAGACAGGCCCTACTCAGGGCACCACTTTGCCCTCTTTATCTTTGAGATCTTCTACCCTCATGCAGAAAAGAGGCTAGGAGTGTTGAGGGGAGGAATGGCGGAAGATGAGAAGACACAGTGGTGGGTGGGTGTTGTGGGGCAGTAGGTTAAGTCACTATTTGGGATGCTGGCATCCCATAACAGAGCACCAGTTTAAGTCCTGGCTCCTTTGCTTCTGATCCAGTTTCTTTTTTCTTTAAGATTTATTTACTTATTTGAAAGGCAGAGTTACAGAGAGGCAGAGGCAGAGGCAGAGAGAGAGAGAGAGAGAGAGAGAGGGAGAGAGAGAAAGTCTTCCATCCGCTGTTTCACTCCCCAGATGGCTGCAACAGCCGGAGCTGGGTCGATCTTTGAGCCAAGAGCCTCTTCCAGGTCTCCCATGCAGGTGCAGGGGCCCAAGGACATGGGCCATCTTCTGCTTTCCCAGGCCATAGCAGAGAGCCTGATGGGAAGTGGAGCAGTGGGAACTTGAACCAGCGCCCACATGGGATACCAGCACTGCAGGCAGCGGCTTTACCCGCTACGCCACAGCACCGGCCCCTGATTCAGTTTCTTACTAACGCATCTGGCAGCAGCAGATGATGGCTCAAGTACTTGGGTCGCTGACAAAACTTGGCTGTTGCAGCCATTTGGGGGAGTAAACCAACAGATGAAAGATCTCCCTCCTCGTCTTGCCCTCTTTCTCTGTCACTACGCTTTTCAAATGAAAGAAATCAATCTTAAAGAACAAAGATGACACAATGGTGCAGAAAGTAGAAAAATGAAAGTCCGGGAGAAAAGAGAAGAAAATGTCAATCGTGAGGACCCTCACACACTTCGAGTGAAAATTGTTAAACAGGACATACAGGAACTTTTTTGGGAGAAAATGTTATGAATGAGGTAGAAAAGAAGGAAAAATGACAGGCAAGAAGAATCTCCAAAGACAAGTTTTTGCCAGTTTCTTCATTTATCTTATGGCTCCCTCCATCTTGGGGAAAGACACATTCAAAAAAATCTTAGTTCAAAGTTCTAGAAAATGAAAACATCTTGCTCATTTCCTACCTATTAAATAAAGGAAGTTAATAGAGGCTTTTCAACGACAGTGCTTAAAAATTGAACAAATTCTTCCTGACTTTCTCTTATGTCTCAATTTTTGACAGGATTTACAAACTCCTTAGTGTACGCCTGTGGGTCTTAGGGAGTTTTCCAAGAATTCAGCAAAAGAGCTAGGTTGGGATTTATTTTTGCCATTCTCCCCTCTTTCTTCTGTGCTGTTACTGTGGGTAGCCTTAAAGGCTCTGCCTATGCCTATCCCTTCTGTCTTTTCATATAGAACTGCTCTGTTTCCTTGACTTCAACTTTTATTCTCCAATAGGAGAATACTAATTCCACATCTGTTGCCTTAAACTATTACCCTTTCTTTTTTTCTATTTAGAAAAAAAAATGGAGGAGGTAATACACACACATATGCTACATGTAGCAAAATTTACCACTTAAAATTTATTTATTTAACTTAGTTGAAAGGCAGAGAGGAGAGAGAGAGAGAGAGAGAGAGAGAGAGAGATCACCTGTTTTTACATTCCCCAAATGCCTGCAATAGTGAAGGCTGTGCCAGGCCAAAACCAGGTGCCAGGAACTCAATCTGGGTCCACTATGTGGGAGGCAAGTACCCAACCACTTGAACCATCATCACCTGCTATCTCCTAGGGTGTACATTAACAGGAAGCTGGAGTTGGGAGCGGAGCCAGGACTCAAACTCAAGGCACTTCGATATGGGATGTGAGTGTCCCAAATGCCCACCCCCGTTTTTAACCTTTTTTAAGTAGACAATTTAGCAGTATTAATTACATTCATGGGCTGGCGCTCTGGTGTAGTACGTTAAGCCTCCACCTGCAGCGCCGGCATCCCTATGGATGCTTGTTTGAGTCCCAGCTGCTCCACTTCTTAACCAGCTTCCTGCTAATGTGCCTGGGGAGGCAGTGGAAGATAGCCTAAGTGCTTGGGCCCCTGCACCCACGTGGAAGACCCGGAAGAAGCTCCTGGCTCCTGGCTTTGAATTGGCCCAGCTTCGGCTGCTGCGGCCATTTGGGGAGTGAACCAGCAGATGGAAGACCTCTCTCTCTGTCTCTCCCTCTCTCTGCAACTCTGCCTCTCAAATAAATAAATAAATCTTTAAAAAATTACATTCATGCTGTCTAACCATTTCCACTATTTTCATAACCCTTTCATCACCCTAAGCAGAAACTCTGTATTTATAACTCCCCATTACTTCTGCTATGCTTTGAATATTTCTGTCCTCTCCATAACTCATGTTGAAACTTAATTGTCAGTGCAACAGTGTTGGGAGGTGGGGCCTTCTGGGAGGATGCTGCCCTTAAGAATGGATGAACGCTGCTGTACAAGGGCCTTTCAAGAACAGGGTTTCTCTCTTGCAGAGGATGTAGCATTGCGGGTGCCATCTTGAGAGTGGACACTGGGTCCTCCTAGGCATTAAACTCTGTTGGCGCCCTGATCCTGGACTTCCCAGCCTCCAGAACATGAGAAAGAAACTTCTATTTTTTTTTAATTGCCAAGTTCCAGGTATTCTATTACAGCAGCACAAATGGAATAAGACACTTCCTCTTCCCAGCCAAAAGGAACCTCTAATCTACTTTTCCTCTTTGAATTTGCATGTTGTACATGTGAGCACAACCATGCAACACTTGTCCTTTTGTGTCTGACTTCTTTCATTTGGTAGGTTATCAAGATTCACCCATGTCGAAGCATGGATCAGAACCACATTCCTCTTTATGGCTGAAAATTCTTCTGTTGCTGGACACTGGAGTTGTTTCCATCCACCATGTTGGCCTTTGTTAATAATGTTGATATAAAATTGGTATACGCCTATCTGTCTGAGTCTCTGTTTTCAATTCCTTTGGATTTACACCCAGAAGTAGAATTGCCAGGTTATGTGGTAATTCTATCTTGAACTTTCTGAGGAACTGTCAAACTGCTTTCCAGAGCAGCTGCACTATTTTACATTCTCTTTGCAACTTCATATGAGGTCCCAATCTTGTCATAAGCTCACTAATACTTACTATGTTAAAAAGTCATTATTACAGCTATTCTAGTAGGTAGGAAGTGGTGTCTCATTGTGGCTCTGATTTGCTTGGCATTTCCCTCACAAGTAATGATGCTGACCATCTTTTCAGGTACTTGTTGGCCATTTGCATATCTACTTTGGAGAAACGTCAGGTTAAGTCCTTTATTCTTTGTAAAATTAAGTATATGATTAGCAACAACAGGTAGTAGGGAAGACAGTCATAACTGGGGAGAAGGAAGTTTTCATAGGCCAAATAAAATGTTTGCATATCTACCAAATTTGAAAATAACTTAATGGGGCCTGTGCTGTGGCATAGCAGGTAAAGCCACAGCCTGCAGTGCCGGCATCCCATATGGGTGCCAGTTCAAATCCCAGCTGCTCCACTTCCAATTCAGCTCTCTGCTGTGGCCTGGGAAAGCAGTGGAAGATGGCCCAGGTCCTTGGGCTCCTGCACCCATGTGGGAGATCCGGAAGAAGCTCCTGGCTCCTGGCTTCAGCTCAGCGCAGCTCTTGCCATTGCAGCCATTTGGGGAGTGAACCAGCGAATGGAAGACCCCCTCCCCCTCTGTCTCTGCCTCTCTGTAACTCTGCCTTTCAAATAAGTAAATAAATCTTAAAAAAAAAAAAAGAAAATAACTTATTTGCAATATACTATCTTCTGACTTTTAATTCTCTATGAACTTTTAATTCTCTATGAACAACCTGCAGCCTATTCTCAACCCAGGTGTTTTTTAAAGAGACATAACCACTGGATGGGAAGGCATACACATTCTTTTGTAAGCATTTAGAAAAATCCTGTCTTGCAAATCAATAGTAGCTAACATCTGCTAGGTACTTGCTACAAACCAAGCACTACTTTAACCACTTTATGTGTATTATATCACTTAAACTTCACAATTCCCATGAGACATACACAGTTATTATTTAGGCTACCACATTGCATCATACCAGAGGGCACCATTCACCCTGTAGGTCAGGTAAATGGTACCCCTGTAATGTAATGGTTCTGATTATTTTTCTCAGTTTGCTTATGGGGAAACTGAGGCAGAGTATGCATTTAAGTAACATGTTCAAAGTTTTCATTTCAATGTTTATATATTTATTTGAAAGGCAGAGTGACAGATAGGAAGGGAATTTTCCATCTGCTACTTCATTCCTAAATGCCTACAACAACTGGGACTGGGCCAGCTCGAAGCTAAGAGCCCGAAACTGCATCTGGGTCTCCTATGTGGGTGGCAAGGACTCAAGAACGTGGGCCATCATTTACTGCCTCCCAGGATGCCCATTAATAGGAAGCTGGAATGGAAACAGAATAGCCAGAACCTGAACTAGGCACTCCAAAATGGCATGTAGGCATCTCATGCAGCCGTTTCATTAGCCTGTTGTACCACGACGCCTGCCCAACATGTCCAAAGTCAAATGGTAGTGGTGTACCAAGGATTTGAACCCAGGCAGTCTGGCCCCAGAGCTCACATACTTAACCACAATACATGTACCTGAGATGGGAGAATATGCCTTGGTCTTTGCCAGAACCAGCAACAGGATAAGACTAATTTATTTTAGAAAGGAATCACATCTTACTACATTTTAGTATCCAAAATTACACTAGCAAATGCAAATAAAATGCTGCAATAAAATTTTTTGAAGAAACTTTCTCAAGAACTAGAAGTACTGCCACCAATGTGGGAAACCTGGATTGTGTTCCTGGCTCCCAGCTTCAGTTTCAACCCAGCCCAGCCATTGTTGACATTTGGGGAGTGAACCCACGGGTGGGAGTTCTCCATCTGTGTCTCTCAGCCTCTCAAATAAATAAATAAAAATAAAAGCACTGCACTAGATAAGCAAGTAAAAAAAAATAGACAAATACTGTAAGATTCCACTTGTTAGAGCTTCCACAGTAGTAAAATTCAGAGACAGAAAGTAGAATGTTGGTTTCTAAGCTGCAGGGGAGAGGAGAGTGAGTTGTTTGTTTATTGAGTAGAGAGCTTTCCTTTTGCAAGATGAAAGAGTGGGAAAGCTGGAGATTGGTCACACAGCATTGTTCTTTTTAAAACATAAAATAGATTAGTATGTGCATAGAAAGAAATCTGTAGTTATATATGTCAAACTTATAATAGTGATTATTTCTAAAAAGTAAGATATTGGGATTTTCATTTTGATAGTATATCTTTAATATTTGAATATTTTTAAAATGCTTGTATTATTTTTGTAAGAACAAAATAGGATAAAAATTTCGTTAAGGAGTCTAATCACACTATTAATATATTTTTGTGTGCTTTCTTGGCAATGGAAATGATTTTTAGGTGATTCACAGCAGATGAAATGAAATGACTGACTTCACACGTTCTTTAAGAGAAAATACTTTTCCTAGATTTTAGAGAAAAATAGCTTTGATATTTTCTGATTTCACTGATGCACACTCAAATACACACACATAGAAGTTTCTTTTTAGGGATGGGCATTTGGCCGAGAGGTGAAAGACAGAACTCCATTCAGGCCTCCCACGTGCTGGCAGAGACCCAAGCAGTGCAGCCATCAGCTGCCATTTTCTTAGCACATCAGCAGGAGGCCAGCCGGGAAGTGGAGGTGGGACTTGATCCCAGGCACTCTGACATGGGATGTGGGCACTGTGCCACAATGCACCTGGCTCCTGGCTTCAGATCGATGCGGTGCACCGGCCATAGCGGCCATTTGGGGAATGAACCAACGGAAGGAAGACCTTTCTGTCTCTCTCTCTCTCTCTCTCTCACTGTCTAACTCTGCCTGTCAAAAAAAACAAAAAACAAACAAAAAAAAAACAAAAAACAAAACAAAAAAAAACCTCTCTGCTTCTGCCTCTCTGTAACTCTGCCTTTCAAATAAATAAATAAGTCTTTTTTTAAAAAGAAGTAAAATGTCAATAATGGGGGAAACTGGGAAGACGGAACTATCTGTGCAACTTTTCCACTATATCTCAAATTATTCCAACATAAAAGCTTTACTTAAAAAAATAAGAAGCCATTTGATTGACACATTGAAATAACAACACAGAACATGCAATAATGAATTAAGGGGGCCAGCGCTGGGGCATGGTGGGTAAAGCCGCCACCTGCATTGCCGGCATCCCATGTGGGTGCCAGTTCGAGTCCTGGCTGCTCCACTTCCAATCCAGTTCTCTGCTATGGCCTGGGAAAGCAATAGATGATGGCCCAAGTCCTTGGGCCCCTGGACCCTCATGGGAGACCTGGAAGAAGCTCTAGGCCCCTGGCTTTGGATCTGTGCAGCTCCGGCTGCTGTGGCCATCTGGGGAGTGAACCAGCAGGTGGAAGACCTTTCTTTCTCTCTGCCTCTCTGTAACTCTGCCTTTCAAATAAATAAATAATTTTTTTTGTTTTTTATGGTTTTTTTTTTTTTTTGACAGGCAGTTAGACAGTGAGAGAGAGAGAGACAGAGAGAAAGGTCTTCCTTTTCCGTTGGTTCACCCCTCAAATGGCCGCTACGGCCGGCGCTGCGCCAATCTGAAGCCAGGAGCCAGGTGTTTTTCCTGGTCTCCCATGCAGGTGCAGGGCCCAAGCACTTGGGCCATCCTCCACTGCCTTCCCGGGCCACAGCAGAGAGCTGGACTGGAAGAGGAGCAACCAGGACAGAATCCGGCGCCCCAACTGGGACTAGAAATCGGAGTACCAGCGCCGCAGGCGGAGGATTAGCCTAGTGAGCCACGGCACCGGCCAAATAAATAAATGTTAAAAAAAAGAATTAAGTATTTTTCTTTGGTACTTACCCTGGATATTGTTCCTGATTACACTTAGTAATACAAAGATAGTAACCAAGTAATCCAAAAATAACTAAAAATACTCCAGCAGCAATTAATCCAGTCAGCAGACCCATAACATCGATTTTCTCTCTGTTATCTAAGAGAAACAATTAAGAGAACATAAATATAATAGCTATCACTATTAAGCATGTCAACATTTATACTGATTTCTTTAAAGTCTTTGTGCTAGAGAATTCACCTAAAAAACCATTTAAATGATATTTCTAAAAGCCTTAATTATAGTTATTTATTCTTTTATCTACCTTAAATAGGTCACATTGAAAAGATAATATTCAACATCAAGTGCGATAAACATTTTTTTGCCCAACTAGATATAATCTGTTATTAACTACTAAGATACATTTATTAAGAAAACATGGTGAAGTTGTGCAATATAGCCTCCTATAGGGGACCACCTAAGAGGAAATGAATAATAATTGGCAAAATATCACTTAGAAAAGTAGGGTGGGGGAGGGGGTGGGAGAGAGAAAAAGATTAGCTAACAGGTACAGAATTACAGTTGGTGGAGCCAGTGTTGTGGCACAGCAAGTAAAGCCGCTACCTGCAATGCTGGCATCCCATATGGGTGCCGGTTCGAGTTTAGGTTGCTCTACTTCCAATCCCGGTCCCTACTAACACATGTGGGAAAGCAGTGGAGGACAGCCCAAGTGCTTGGGCCCCTGCAACTATGTGAGAGACCTGGAAGAAGCTTCTGGCTCCTGACTTTGGTCCGGTCCAGCTTGGGCTGTGGAAGCCATTTGGGGAGTAAACCAGCAGATGGAAGACCTCTCTCTGTCTCTAACTCTCTCTCTCTCTGTGACTCTGCCTTCTAAATAAATAAAACTAATACATGTTTAAAAAATTACAGTTGGCTGGGAGGATTCAGGTCTAGGATTTGGTAATTATAATAAACAAAAGTTTATTGTGGCCGGCGCCGCAGCTCACTAGGCTAATCCTCCACCTTGTGGCGCTGGCACACCGGGTTCTAGTCCCGGTCGGGGCGCCGGATTCTGTCCCGGTTGCCCCTCTTCCAGGCCAGCTCTCTGCTATGGCCCGGGAGTGCAGTGGAGGATGGCCCAATTCCTTGGGCCCTGCACCCACATGGGATACCAGGAGAAGCACCTGGCTCCTGGCTTCGGATCAGCGCGATGCGCTGGCCACAGCGGCCATTGGAGGGTGAACCAACGGCAAAGGAAGACCTTTCTCTCTGTCTCTCTCTCTCATACTATCCACTCTGCCTGTAAAAAAATAAAAAAAAAAGTTTATTATATTTCAAAACAGCTAGAAGAGAGGATTTTGAGTGTTTTCACCACAAAGAAATGATAAGCACTGGATGTGATGGCTGTGTCAATCACCCTGAGATGATGGCTCAAGTACTTGAGTACCCCCTGCCACCGACGTCGGAATCCAGGATAAAGCCCTGGACCCTGTCTTTGCCCCACCCCAGCACAGGGCTGTTGCAGCCATTTGAGGAATGAACCAAGGGATGAAAGATTCTCTCTTCCCCTCTCTATTGCTCTGCCTTTCAAATAAATAAATGTATCTTCCAAAAAACACAGCTGTGAACCCCATAGATGTGGACAAGTGATTATATAAATTAAAAAGAAAACTTCAGTATATGGAGAGATGATCAATACCTTGTTTCTCTAAACATTCATTAACTCTACCCAACAATCTGAATTTACAAAACATAAACATCCCATCTACTTTTTTTTTTTTTTTTTTTGACAGGCAGAGTGGACAGTGAGAGAGATAGAGAGAAAGGTCTTCCTTTGCCGTTGGTTCACCCTTCAGTGGCCGCCGCGGCCGGCGCACCGCGCTGATCCGAAGCCAGGAGCCAGGTACTTATCCTGGTCTCCCATGGGGTGCAGGGCCCAAGTACTTGGGCCATCCTCCACTGCACTCCCGGGCCACAGCAGAGAGCTGGCCTGGAAGAGGGGCAACCGGGACAGAATCCGGCGCCCCGACCGGGACTAGAACCTGGTGGAGGATTAGCCTAGTGAGCTGCGGCGCCGGCCCATCCCATCTACTTGTGATAGAAAAAAGGAAGAAGTTAAAATAGTTTCCCACTTGAAACAAATATAGTCCTGCTTCCACTCTGTGCAAGCCTTGACTTAGCCGAGCTGTTTAAGACAGCTTTACGCCTATTATCTCATTTCCCTAGTATCTCACCAAACTTGATTTTCAGTGTATAAGTAGATGAAGGTGGCCTTCTCAGATAGCCCAGTGTATAATTGAGAAATCTTCCTTGTATTTACAAGGTATGTATGTTGAGCAACAGCCAAACTCAAACAATAAAACTCATACGTCTTACAATTGAAAGAGGGTGAGAAAAAGCATCATATTTTATCCACTCTTGCCTTACCTGATTTTAAGGATGGTCCTTTAATTGAATATTCCTGCCAAAATGTCATCTAAGAAAAAGAGAAGATGTTCACATTTATGTGAGTTATCATCATTTCATGGTGGGTCCAATGGCCTAGACTAGGGATGGTAAAGTCTTGGCATGGGTTGCAGGTAGGATACCACTACACTCAAGCTCAAGGGTGTGGCTCACCCTAATTAAAGCACTACTACCCACCACTGTTTCTGCTTTCCTGGGGTTAAGGGATTGCTGCCAGTCCCAGCTCTGATAACTGCACCCTGCTCTTCTCCCTTTGCCTAACTGGAGCCCCCACTCAGGTACCAGGGGACATCTCTTGAGACACTTGGTGAATGTCTCAGAGGGGGAAGTTGAGGTTGTAGCCCCATTATCGCATTTTCCGTGTTGGGTAGGCCCTCAGTCAGTCAGGAGAGTTCACTGAAAAGTATCTATTGACTTGGAAAGATATCCCTTAGACAGCTTAACTTCAGTGCTACTTGAAGCAAAATTTTCAGAAACTAGGATAAAAGTAGAGAATGGGTTTCTGAAAAATAGTATAAATTCCCAACAGGCACAACTACAACATACAAGATTGCTTTAAAAATTCATGAAAAATATAATTAAAGATAAGTTTATTTTGGTGTAAAAACATTTGAAATTCAACTGTAGCTTTTTCATAATATTTATTTTCTAGGAACTTTTTGAAGAGCCTGGTATATTCTTTGCTTTTCTTCTTTAATAGGCACAGGAAATAGGAGATTGGGCACAATTATGGAAGACTAAAAAGTGAGGTTATGGGGACCGATGCCATAGTGTAGTGGGCTAAACCTCCACCTGCGGGCGTCAGCATCCCATAGAGGAGCTGGTTTGTGTCCCAGCTGCTCCTCTTCCAATCCAGCTCCTTGCTATGGCCTGGGAAAGCAGTAGAAGATGGCCTAAGTGCTTGGGCCCCTCTGCCCATGCAGGGGACCTGGAAGAAGCTCCTGGCTTTGGATTGGCTCAGCTCTGGCCATTTGGGGGGTGAACCAGCAGATGGAAGGCCTTTCTCTCTCTCTTTCTCTGCCTCTGACTCTCTGTAACTCTGCCTTTCAAATAAATAAATAAATGTCGGAAAAAAAATAAAGAGCAAGGTTCTGTTATCATCTGCAGTTAAAGCACACACGGCGGGGCCGGCGCTATGGCTCACTTGGTTAATTCTCCACCTTGCAGCGGCATCCCATATGGGTGCCGGATTCTAGTCCCAGTTGATCCTCTCCCAGTCCAGCTCTCTGCTATGGCCCGGGAGGGCAGTGGAGATGGCCCAAGTGCTTGGGCCCCTGCACTCACATGGGAGACCAGGAGGAAGCACCTGGCTCCTGGCTTCGGATCAGCGCAGCACCGGCTGTGGCAGCCATTTGGGAGTGAACCAACGGAAGGAAGACCTGTCTCTCTCTCTCACTGTCTATAACTCTACCTGTCAAATGAATAAATAAAAAAAAATAAAGCTCATATGGGAAGATTCTTATTGATCAGCAAGTAAATTAGGATGCTTGAGAAAGGGGAAAAGAAGTTGGGGCTATTAAGTCCACTAAAGTAAAAAATTTTGGTCACTTAACATTCTTCAAGAATATGCCAGGCTGTAACAGTCACAGTATGACTTGTTTTTTATTCTTCTTCTCATAATTATTATTATTATTTAAAGTTTTTTTTTTTGCTGCCTTTTTTTTAGACAGAGTTACAGAGTGAGAGAGAGAGGGAGAGAGTGGGAGAGAGATCTTGCATCTGCTGGTTCATTCCCCAAATGGCTGCAATGGCTGGGGTTGTGCCAGGCTGAAGCCAGGAGCCTGGAATTTCTTCCAGGGTCTCCTACATGGGTGCAGGGCCCCAAGCACTTGGGCCATCTTCCACCCCTTTTTCAGTCCATTATCAGGGAATTGGGTTGGAAGTGGAGCAGCTGGGTTTTGAACCAGTGCCCATATGGGATGTCGGTGTCGAAGGTGGCAGCTTAACTCACTAAACCACAATGCTGGCCCCTATTCTTCTTTTTTATTTTTTAGGATTTATTTTTTATTTATTTGAAAGAGTGATGGGGCTGGTGGGGGTTAGAAATAATCCATCCACTTGTTAGCTACCCAAATGGCTGCAAATGGCCATGGCTGGGCAAGGCTGAAGCCAGGACCCTGGAACTCTAGCCAGGCTTCCCAGGCGGGTGGCAGGGACACAAGCACTTGGGCCATCTTCTACTGCTTTTCCAGGTGCATTAGCAGGGAGCTGGATTGGAAGTGGAAAGCCAGGACGTGAACCAGGATATGGGATGCTGGTGTGCAGGCGGTGTCAGGATCAACAGACAGACTTACTTATATTTTAAGGGGAACTTCTGGAAATATTTCCCTGATATTATACAGACAATCCAAACAATACAGTGAATTTACATGTTGTATCCTCAGTGTCCAGCAGAATGCATGGCACATGATAGACTGCCAATAAATATTTGAAATATAAATATGGGTGGGCCAGCACCGTAGCTCACTTGGCTAATCCTCCACCTGCGGCGCCAGCACCCCGGGTTCTAGTCCTGGTTGGGGTGCCGGATTCTGTCCCAGTTGCTCCTCTTCCAGTCCAGCTCTCTGCTGTGGCCTGGGAAGGCAATGAAGGATGGCCCAAGTGCTTGGGCCCTGCACCCGCATGGGAGACGAGGAGGAAGCACCTGGCTCCTGGCTTCGGATCGGCACAGCGTGCCGGCTGCAGTGCGCCGGCCGTAGCGGCCATTTGGGGAGTGAACCATCGGGAAAAGGAAGACCTTTCTCTTTGTCTCTCTCTCTCTCTCACTGTCTAACTCTGCCTGTCAAAAAATATATATATATATAAATATGGGTAATCAAAGAGGTAAGTTCACTGGTAGGAGAAATTGCCAAGTCTTCAATGACTGAAGCGTGAGTCATAGCACTAACTCTCATAATTTCTGGAAGCTTAATTCACCTGCTATATGATTGTTTTTATATATAATAAACATTAAACACAGGATCACAACATACTCAATAATTTGCTAATTACTATAAACCCAGCTAATGGAGAATAAGGCCAAGTCTAAATAGGTTAATTAGCATTTTGAAGAAGTAGAGAGAGATAACAGGTACACAACCTTGATCTTGTGTAAAGCATAAAACAGATAATAGCCGAGAGTGCCACTTTCTTAAGTACGATTTAATGTTTCCAGCCCATTAACATAATCAACCAAATTACCGTTTTATCTTCGTCCACAAAAATCTCTCTGGCTTCCTCATAATTACAAAGTTCTTCGTTGCACTCCCTTTCTAGGTCTCCGGGAGTGAAGAGCTCCAAGTCAAATCTGTTATACAGGAGGCGTCGGCGGATGAAAACGTTGGCTTCTTCTTTTGATGTAAAGACTAATGAAGAAATGAGAAAGATCTCATGCATCAACAAATAATAAGGCAGAAGATTCCTGTTTTCATCATGGCAAAAGTGAACAGCCCTCTTCGTGTGGTTACAGTACACCAAACTTTCTTGTGTGGCGTTAAAACACAGCATCAGTTCCAATGATTTTGGAGGGTAGCTGGCATTTACTCTAGTGGTTATAATGCCCACCTCCCACACCCGAGTGCCCGTGTTTCATTTCTGACTCCTGACTTCCACTAACATCAGCCATGATGCCTCAAATAACTGGGTTTCTGTCCTCTATGTGGGAGACCGGCACTGTGTTCAAGGCTCCTGGCTCTGGTTCCAGTCCAGTGCTGCTCACTGTGGGCATTTGGCAAGTGAAGCAGCATATGGGAACTCTCTCCCTGTCAATCAAATGTTTAAAAACTTAAAAAAAATTATGTCTGAGAATATGAAATACAAATATTAGTATGATTCCAAAAAATACTTGAGTTGATTAGATCCAAAAATATTATTATTATTTTAAAATTTGTTTTATTTATTTGAAAGTTACAGGAGAGGCAGAGACAGAGAGACAGAGATCTTCCATCTGCTGGTTCACTTCCGAAATGGCTGCAATGGCCAGAGCTGAGCCAGGCCAAAGCCAGGAGCCAGGGGCTTCCTCCTGGAGTCCCATGTGGGTGCAGGGGCCCAAGGATTTGGGCCGTCTTCTGCTGCTTTTCCAGGTACATTAGCAGAGGGCAGATTGGCAGAAAAGCAGCCAGGACTTGAACCTGCACCCATGTGGGAGATTTAACCTGCTGTGCCACAGCATCACCCCCCAATTATCATTATTTTTTAAAATATTTATTTATCTGGTTGGTTGGTTGGTTGAAAGGTGGAGTAACAGAGAAAGAGAGGGGGAGACAGACTGTGAGAGTGACAGCAATTTTCCATCTGCCGGTTCATTCCCCAGATGGCCACAATGGCCAGGGCTGGTCCAGGCCAAAGCCAGGAGCCCAAAATTCCATCCAGATCTCCCACATGAGTGGCAGGGGCCCAACTACTGGCCATCAACATCTGCTGCCTTCTCAGGAACATTAGCAGGGAGCTGGATAGGAAGCGGAGCATCTGGGACTTGAGTCAGTGCGTGGACATGGGATGCCAGTGTTGAAAGTGGCAGCTTAACCCACTGTGCTGAAATGATGGTCCCTATATCCAAAATTATTAACACAAGCGACAATTATATGAGTATCATTTTTCCCTCTAGACAGCTATTTTTTTAAAGATTTATTTATTCATTTGAAAGTTAGAGTTAGAGAAGGAGAGGCAAAAAGAGAGAGAGAGAGAGAGAGAGAGTTCTTCCATCTGCTGGTTCATTCCTCAATTGGCTGCAACTGCCAGAGCTGCGCTGATCCGAAGCCAGGAGCCAAGAGCTTCCTCTGGGTCTTCCCACACAGATGCAGGGGTCTAAGGACTTGGATTATCTTCTACTGCTCTCCCAGGCCATAGCAGAGCTCGATCATAAGTGGAACAGCCAGGATTCAAACAGATGCCCATATGGGATGCCGGCACTGCAGGCGGCGGCTTTACCCGCTACACCACAGCACCAGCCTTGAGATAACTATTTTTCAACAAATGACGGTGCGGGCGGCCTACTCCATTTCCAGAAGACTGGGTTCCCTACTACGTCGAATGAGCAAAATTACTGGGGCATAATATACAGAGTATTAGACTAAGAGAAGATACAGATTTTTGGTTTTGCTTTGGCTTAAGCTTTAAGCTATGTATCCTGGAAAAAGTCACTTATCTCTCTGGGCTACAAGTCCTCATCTGTAAAACTAGAGTTTTCTTAATAATCATTAAACTCTCTGTGAGCTCTAAAATTATAAATTAATATTTTTACATTCAAGTCGTTTTACTCAAGTTCATACTAAAATTTATAAAATTCTAATGTCTAAGTTAAGAAAAATATAACATAATTATAAGTTCAATTAAAAGACAATCGGGGCCGGCACCATGGCTCACTTGGCTAATCCTCTGCCTGCCGCGCCGGCACACCGGATTCTGTCCCGGTTGCTCCTCTTCCTGTCCAGCTCTCTGCTGTGGCCCGGGAGAGCAGCGGAGATGGCCCAAGTGTTTGGGCCCTGCACCCGCATGGGAGACCAGGAGAAGCACCTGGCTCCTGGCTTCAGATTGGTGCAGCACCGGCCGTGGCGGCCATTAGGGGAGTGAACCAACGGAAGGAAGACCTTTCTTGCTGTCTCTCTCTCGCTGTCTGTAACTCTACCTGTGAAATAAAATGAAATGAAATAAAATAAAATAAAATAAAATAAAGTAAAATAAAAAGACAATGAGGGCAGGTGCTTCATAACCAGGACTGAAAGCCAGGAGGCAAGAACTCCATCCTGGTCTCAGGTGGCAGGGGCCCAAGCACCTCTGCTGCGCTCCAGGTGCAATAGCAGGGAGCTGGATCTGAAGCGGAGCAGCCAGGACTGGAACCAGTGCTCCAGTATGGGATACTGGCTTTTTGGGGGCTGCTTAACTCACTGAACTACAACACTACACCCATGGAAATATTTTCAAAATCCACAAACTTTAAGCCGGCGCCGTGGCTCAATAGGCTAATCCTCCACCTTGCGGCGCCGGCACACCGGGTTCTAGCCCCGGTTGGGGCGCTGGATTCTCTCCCGGTTGCCCCTCTTCCAGGCCAGCTCTCTGCTATGGCCAGGGAGTGCAGTGGAGGATGGCCCAGGTGCTTGGGCCCTGCACCCCATGGGAGACCAGGAAAAGCACCTGGCTCCTGGCTCCTGCCATCGGATCAGCGCGGTGCGCCGGCTGCAGCGGCGGCCATTGGAGGGTGAACCAACGGCAAAGGAAGACCTTTCTCTCTCTGTCTCTCTCTCTCACTGTCCACTCTGCCTGTCAAAAAGAAAGAAAAATCCACAAACTTTAAACTTTAAATTCATTCTGGTGTCACACTAATAATGCCTAAGGGATTTTTTTCTTCCAGGTCAACTGAAATCACAAACTCTCTGAGAACTATAACAAAATAAGAGAGGTAGTCTTTGGGCCTAAGGATTCAGACATAGACTGGGAGGCCCATGTCCCAATATCCGAGTGCCTGGTTCAAATCCCAGCTCTGCTCCTGATTCCAGCTTCCTACTAACGTGGACCTTGACAGGCAGCAGCTGATGGCTCAAGGAGTTGGGTCCCTGCCACCCACATGAGAGACGTGGATTAAATTCCTGACTCCCAGCCATGGCCTGGTCCAGCCCTGGCTGCTGGGGACTTTTGAGGAGTGAATCAGCAGATGGGAGCTCTGTCTGTTTGTCTCTATCTCTGCTTTTCAAATGAATAAGTTCTTAAAAGAATTTACAAGTCTTGATACTCCTCACTGCCAGCCATTACTAAAGGAAGATTGTATTAAAACGGGCATTGAAAGACACTCATGAGAGCATACTTTGGAAAATTATTACTGATTTGTTGGTGACCTCAGGTTGGTCATTTATTCCTAATCCCTTGAAAATAGTTACGTCTTGTCCAAGATATTTTTTTCTAAGAACTAATTATCTTTTCAAGCAAGTCTGAGTCTTCTCAGGCTATTTTGTCAAGATATGGAGTTACTGAGGACTTGAAATGTAGCTACTCTGAACTGAGGTGTGCCTTAAGTGTGAAACACACACAGGATTCCAAAAATTTAGTATGGGGGAAAAGAAGTCTGTGAAATATATTATCAATGTTTAATATTGCTGATATTTTGGATTAGTTACATTTTGGATACTTGGTTAAATTTTCAATACATTATTAAAATTAATCTATTTCTATATTTTCTTTTTTTTAGATTTATTTTATTTATTTGAAAGACAGAGTTACAGAGTGAGGTAGAGACACAGAGAAATGTCTTCCATCTGCTGGTTTACTCCCCAGATGGCTGTAACGGCCAGAGCTGTGCTGATCCGAAGCCAGGAGCCAGGAGCTTCTTCTGGGTCTCCCATGCAGGTGTAGGGTCCCAAGGACTTGGGCCATCTTCCACTGCTATCCCAGGCCATAGCAGAGAGCTGAAGTGGAAGAGGAGCAGCCGAGACTAAAACCAGCACGCATATGGGATGCTGGCGCTTCAGGCCAGGGCTTTAACCTGCTGTGCCACAGCACCGGCCCCTTCTTTCTATATTTTCAAATATGGCTGGGAGGGACAGCACTGTGATGTGGCATGTTAATTGTCGTCTGCAGTGCCAGCATCCCACATAGGCACTGATTTGAGTCCCCGCTGCTCCTCTTCCAATCCAGGTCCATGCTAATGGCCCAGGAAAAGCTGTAGAAGATGGCTCAAGTGCTTGGGCCCGTATGGGAAACCTGGAAGAAGCTACTGGCTCCTGACTTCAGCCTGGCCCAGCACTGGATGTTTGTGGCCATCTGGGGAATGAACCAACAGATGTATGATCTCTGTCTCTCCTTCTTTCTGTAACTCTAATTCTAAATAAATAAATAAATCTTAAAGAAAGAAAAAAGAAAGCACCAGAAGATGGCCCAAGTGTTGGGCCCCTGCACCCATGTGGGAGACCTGGAAGAAGCTCCTGGCTCCTAGCTCCTGGCCCAGTCCTGGCTATTGTGGCCATTTGAGGAGTGAATCTGTGGATGGACGATCTCTCTGTCTCTCCCTCTCTTTGTAACTCTGCCTTTCAAATAAATTTAAAAACTCTTAAAAAAATAAAAATATGGCTGGGTTGGCTGGGTAAGCTGTCAATTGGGACATTTATATCCCTATTGGAGTACCTGGGTTCTAGTCCTGGCTTCCTGCTAATGTTCACCTTGGGAGGTACCTGGTGATGGCTCAAGTAGTTGATTCCCAGCTACTACATGAGAAACCTAGATTGAATTCCCAGCTCCTGGGCATTTGGGAAGTGAATCAGCAGATGGGAGTTCTCTTTGCCCATCTGTCTAATAACTAAGTAGATAAGTAAAAATTAAAAAAAGAGAAGAGAACCCGGCCGGCGCTGCGGCTCACTAGGCTAATCCTCCGCCTAGC